GCGGTTCGGGACGGAGTTTCCCGTCCTGCGTCTGCACTCTGACAGAGGTGGGGAGTTTTCCTCCGACCTCTTGGCAGCCTTCTGTGCGGAGCACGGCATCCGCCAGACATTCACGCTTCCGGCCTCTCCGCAGCAGAATGGGGTTGCTGAGCGTCGCATTGGCTTAGTCATGGAGGTCGCTCGTACCTCCATGATCCATGCGGCTGCCCCCCATTTTCTGTGGCCGTTTGCGGTCCGGTACGCCGCGCATCAGCTCAACCTCTGGCCCCGTGTCTCCTTGCCGGAGACCTCGCCCACACTGCTGTGGACGGGGAAGGTTGGCGATGCGTCACGTTTTCGGGTCTGGGGTGCTCGTGCCTTTGTCCGCGATACCACCGCGGACAAGCTCTCCGCCCGCACTGTTCCCTGTGTTTTCCTTGGCTTTGTCCCTGACGCGCCTGGTTGGCAGTTTTACCACCCCACCTCGCACCGTGTCTTCCCCTCTCAGGACGTCACGTTTGACGAGTCGGTTCCCTTTTACCGTCTCTTCCCCTACCGCACTGCCCCTCTCCCCCCCCCCGCCGCTCTTCCTCGCTCCAGGTGCTCCCCAGGTAGACCCCCTCCTCGCTCCCGGTCCTGCTCCTTCAGGTGTGTCTCAGGTAGACCCTCCTCCCTTGACTGCGCCGGTTGAGGTCACTGGTGACTCGGGTCCTGCTGAGGGTGGTCCTGCTCGGGGTGCTGCTTCTGGGGGTGCTGAGCCTGGGGGTGCGGAGCCTGGGGGTGCTGAGCCTGGGGATGCTAAGCCTGGGCGTGAGGAGTCTCGGGGTGCTGAGCCTGGGGGTACTGAGCCTCGGGGTGCTGCACCTGGGGGCGCTGAGGCGTCTGGTGAGCAGTCTCCCTGGAGCGGCCGTCTCCGTAGTCGCTCCGCTGGTACCTCGCCGCTGCACTCTCGTCGTCGACTCCCTCTCTCCCCACAGCAGCTGCGTGAGTGGTACGTTGGCCGTCAGGGTCGCACTGCTGGAGCTAGGGGCCCTGCTGTGGGAGGCGCTGGAGCTGGTGACTCTGCTACTGGAGTTGTTTCTGCTGGAGGTTCTGGAGCTGCTGAGGGTGCTGGAGCTAGAGGTTGTAGAGCTGCTGAGGGTGCTGGCGCTGGAGGTTCTGGAGCTGCTGCGGGTGCAAGCACTGAGGGTTCTGAGTCTGCTGTTGCACGGTCTCCTTGGAGTGGCCGCCTTCGTCCGCGTGTGCCTCTCACCTCACAGCAGCTGCACGACTGGTACGGTCGCCGTCAGGGTCGCGCTTCTGGAGCTCGGGGCTCTGCCGCTGGAGGTACTTCTGCTGACGTCACTGGAGCTGGGAGTGGTGCTGGTCCCGGAGGTGCTCGTACTGGAGGTACTGGAGCTGCTGGGGCTGGAGGTGCTAAGCTTGAGGGTGCTGCTGCTGGAGACACTGAGGCTGGAGACCCTGGGACTGGAGGTGCCGGTTCTGGGGGTGCTGCTGCTGGTGGAGCTGGTCCTGGAGGAGCTGGAGCTGAGGGTTCTGGAGCTGCTGGAGGTGCTGGGACTGCTGGGGGTGCTGGAGCTGCTGGTGCTGGTAGCACTGCACAGCCGCGCCTGTTCTTTGCTCCACCGTCTCCGTCGTCTCAGCCACCGTCTGACTCTGTGCTTCGCCAGGTTCTTAGTCTCCCTTCGTCTACTGGTCTTCCGTTACAGCCTGGCTCACCGCCGCCTGCTCCTTCTCCTTACACTGAGCAGACAGGGGGTCTTACTGAGCGTCGTGAGCCTGCGTTGCGTCCTGTCTCGCCTGTCCGTTCTGGTCGTTCCGGTCGTCGTGTTCCTTGTTCGTGTCAGCCGGCTGTCCTCGGCACCCACCTTGTAGTCCGTCGTCCTTCCTCTCCTTCGCAGAGTGTTCCCCTGCCGTCCCCTCCTACGTCTTCTCTGCCTACCGTTCCTGAGCCTGAGTCTGACCGCGCTCGTGCTGCTCACCCTACTGTCACGTGTCTGCTAGCCACAGTTGTCACTGACCCGTCGTTTGAGTCTACTGCTGCGTCTGCCTTAGTCGCTGAGCTTGTTGACTTTGCTCCTGCCTGTCGTCTAGACTACGCCACTAGTCTTGTTGCTGAGTCTGAGTCTGTCTGTCCTCCGTCCGTCGGGGGTGAGTGTGCTCTTGGCACGGACGTCCTTGAGGACAGGCAGGAGGACCTTGAGTGTCTTGCAGCCGCTACGCCTCATCTCGTGTCCATGCTGCTTGCCCCTGAGGGAGACCCGGATGCTCCAGACATCCCGACCCCGCGCTCTTACGCTGAGGCGATCGTGGGTGAGTACTCCTCTCAGTGGCTGACAGCCATGGACGCAGAGATGGCATCCTGGAAGTCCACAGGCACCTACGTCGACGAGGTTCCCCCTCCTGGGGCGAACATCGTCAGTGGCATGTGGATGTTCAGGGTGAAGCGGCCGCCAGGTTCTCCGCCTGTCTTCAAGGCTCTTTACGTTGCTCGAGGTTTCAGTCAGCGAGAGGGAGTTGACTTCTTCCAGACCTTCTCCCCCACCCCAAAGATGACCACTCTTCGGGTGCTGCTGCACGTTGCCGCTCAGCGTGACTACGAGCTTCACTCTCTTGACTTCAGCACAGCTTTCTTGCAGGGCAGCCTGCACGAGGAGATCTGGCTGCGCCGCCCACCTGGCTTCACTGGGTCGTTCCCTCCTGGTACCCAGTGGAGCCTCCGGCGGCCGGTCTACGGTCTCCGCCAGGCGCCACATGAGTGGTACGACACACTGAGGACGACACTTGCGGCTCTTGGGTTTGCTCCGTCGACTGCTGACCCGTCGCTGTTTCTGCGCACCGACACTTCGCTGCCGCCGTTCTACATCCTCGTGTACGTCGACGACTTGGTCTTTGCCACTGCTGACACTGAGGCTCTCGCCCTGGTGAAGTCGGAGCTGCAGAAGAGACACACGTGCACAGACCTGGGTGAACTGCGCAGCTACCTTGGCTTGCAGATCACCCGGGACAGAGCACGCCGCACCATCACACTGACTCAGTCACACATGGTGCAGCAGGTCCTTCAGCGCTTCGGCTTCACCTAGTCCTCAGCACAGGCCACTCCTCTGGCTACAGGTCACTCGCTCTCAGCTCCACCTTCGGACGAGTCCGTAGAGCCGAGTGGTCCTTACCTAGAGCTAGTGGGTTGCCTCATGTACCTGATGACCTGCACTCGTCCTGACCTTGCGTACCCTCTTGGCCTTCTGGCTCGCTACGTGGCTCCTGGTCGGCACCGAAAGGTGCACATGGATGCTGCTAAGAGGGTACTGCGCTACTTGTGCAGTACATCGGGCATGGGGCTCGTGCTTGGAGGACGGGGCGACGTTGTCCTCACTGGTCACTCGGACGCTTCTTGGGTTGACGACCAGGCTACGCAGCGGTCGTCACAGGGTTACACCTTCAGCCTTGGCTCTGGTTCAGTTTCTTGGCGTTCTACACGCTCGTCTTCAGTTCTTAGCTCCAGTTGTGAGGCTGAGATCTACGCCACAGCCATGGCTGCACAGGAGTTACGCTGGCTCACCTACCTGCTGACCGACTTGGGAGAGCGGCCTCGTTCTCCTCCAGTGCTGTACGTCGACAACAAGGCCGCCATTGCCTTGTGTCAGGAGCACAGACTGGAGCACAGAACGAAGCACATCGCTCTGCGTTACTTCTTGGCTCGAGAGTTGCAGCAGCGTGGTCAGCTTCGTCTTGCACACGTGGCCACTCGGGCCAACACTGCTGATATATTCACCAAGGCACTTCCGTCTGGTGATCATCAGCGTTTCTGCACTTTGTTAGGCCTTGTGCCCACTTTTCCTCACTTGCTGTAGACTTTGCTTATACTGTGATCTATATATATCCCTGCATGCTTGCTCTGCTAAGTAGAGATCACTGTACTATTGTTGTTGCATATATACCTCTGCACGTGGACTGGCCTTGTGGCCCTTTGCTTGTGCTCAGTGTGTGTGGTGACGTTGTGATCCCCCCTGAGCTTGCTTTGCTTCTCTTGACTGGTCTTGTGGCCCCTTACTCTCCCCCACTTTGCCTATGGGGGTGTGTCAAATTATATGCCTATGTCATAATAGAATGTAGGCTTTAGTGGGGTAGCCAATGTAGGGTATAGTTTTTTTTTACTTGTACCCAACTTTCTCGATAGTGCACCAACTTTTTCCCTTTACTCTCGACAGGAGGTGCTGGAGCGGCTAGTACTGGAGGTGCTGGAGCTGCTGACGGTACGGGCACTGCGCCGCGCCGACTATTTTTCTACTCGCAGCAGCATTCGTCCCTACCACCACCTGACTCGGCACTTCGTCAGGTTCTCAGTCTTTCGTCTTCCACTGGCCTTACTCCGCCTCTCCTGTGTCCTCCGCGTGACCAGTCACAGGCGCAGTTACTGCCTGGCTCTCCACTACCTGCTCCTTCTCCCTACCCTGCACAGACAGGCTCCCAGGCTGAGCGACGTGAGCCTGAGTCTCGTCCTGCCTCCCCTGTTCGCACTGTCAGTCGTGCTCGTCGTTCTCGTCCTCCACCTGTCCCCGGCACGCACGCTATGGCATGTCGTCCTTCCTCTGTTCCACAGCGTGTTGCTCTGCCGTCTCCTCCGGCGTCCTCTCTTCCTGACGTTCCTGACCCTGAGTCCGACCTTGCTCGTGCTGCTAGTCCTATTGTCACTCGTCTCCTCGCCACTGTTGTCACTGACCCTTCCTTTGAGTCTACTGCTGCGTTTGCCCTAGTCACTGAGCTAGTCGACTTTGCTGCTACCTGTCGTCTCGACTACGTCGCGAGTCTGGTTACTGAGTCTAAGTCTGTCTGTCCTCCGTCCGTCGGGGGTGAGCTTGCCCTTAGCAGTGACGTCCTTGAGGACAGGCAGTTTGAGGTTGAGTGTCTCGCGACCGCTTTACCTCGTTTCGCGTCCATGCTGCTTTGCCCTGAGGGAGACCCGGATGCACTCGACATCCCTACCCCGCGCTCTTACGCCGAGGCGATCGCAGGTGAGTACACTAACAAAATGTCGACACAAGAATGTACCCTTAGACCTTAGCACATGCAGATTCTACAAGAGGGAGGGGTAGTACGAAGACATTTTTCCTTACATCGAGTCTGTCTTGCTAGCGGGCACAATGAATTGTGTTATCTTAACTCCAGTAATTTTCAACTAATACTTGCACAACTCCAAGGATGCAGCAAGAGCCTCTGAAGTGAGTGAGTGGACAGCATAATCAATAACCGTAACCTCCACCTGGATGATAATTTGCAGCACCATAATTGCCTTGCTGGTAACCAGGTTGCTGGTAGTTGCCAGTACCTGTCGGATAGCCACCTTGCTGATTTGGATATCCACCACCTCCCATTCCCATGCCCATGTTTCCTGCCATGCCCCCTCCCATCGCTCCCATGCCTCCACCGCCCATTCCCATTCCCCCGTACCCACCACCCTGCATACCATAGGCACCACCACCACCGCCCATGGCACCCATTCCACCACCCATTCCGCCCATCGCCCCCATCCCCCCCATTCCTCCTCCCATTCCCATCCCACCGCCCATGCCACCCATGCCTCCCATGCCTCCCATCCCCCCCATGCCCCCCATGCCCCCCATGCCTGCCCCCCCACCCATGCCACCGGCACCAGCACCAGGCCCCATGGCACGGCCCATGGCAGCGGGCACACCGCCCTGCTGCCCCTGCCCCTGCCCCTGCCCCAGCCCGAGGTGCTGCTGCTGCTGCTGGCGGCTGGCGTCCTCCTTGCGCTCGCGCGCCGATCGCAGCTTCGACTTGGGCATCACGCCCACCGAGCTCAGTGGGTCGTCCGGCTCTGATGCCGCCACGCGGGTGTGGTGGTGGGGGGGTGGCGCACGGGTGAAAGGGAGATGGTGGGTGAGGGGATGGCAGAGCAAGGGAGAGTGGAAGGTGACAGGAGTGGGAATGGCACGTGGGAGAAGGGTGATGCTGGGCGAGTGGGATGCATTTCAAAGCAAGGACAGAGCTGTTGCTTGAAGGAGAGAGAAAGTGGGAGCCATTCAGTGCCGCGTTAGGGCACAGAACAGTTGCACCTTGTGTGTCTTGCTGCTGCCATGTGCCTTTCAACAGCCAGCAGCAGCTAGGCACTCACAGCACAGGCATGCTGCATGTGCACAGGCGCAGCATGCAGACATGGTATGGTACACGCGTGCCATGCAGGGGTCATACCCTTGGAGATGTCGAGGTCCACGAGGCCGGCACTGAGCACGTCTGAGAACACACTCGACTTCTTCACTCCCGCCCCCGCCCCCCCACTCGCATTGCCCTTGCCCTCCCCTCCCACCGCTGCCGCTCCTGCGAAACCGCTATCACTGCCGGCAGCAGCAGCAGAAGCAGGTGCAGGCACGGCGGCAGGGGGAGCGGGGTGATGGGCAGTGGGATGGGGGGGAGCGGCGGCGGGGGTGGGTGCAGCGTCTGAGGCAGAGAAAGCATACGGAGCAGCTAGCGCGGGCGCAGCAGGCTGGGGGGGTTCTGTGTAACCAGATGCTGCCACGGCTGGCTGCTGCTGCTGCGGCTGTGGGGGTTGCTCAGACGAGAGGGAGTAGGGAGGGGGGGCATCGGGTGGGAAGGCGTTGAAGCCCTCCTGAGAGGCAGTTGGTGCTGCAGCAGCTGGGGGGCTGGCGGGTGCTGCTGCTGCTTGCTGCTGCTGCTGCTGCGGCTGCTGGTACTGCGGAGGCGGCTGGTCGTACTGCGGAGGGGGTTGCTGATATTGCTGAGGTGGCTGCTGGTATTGCTGAGGTGGCTGCTGGTATTGCTGCGGTGGCTGCTGGTATTGCTGCGGTGGCTGCTGGTATTGCTGCGGTGGCTGCTGATATTGCTGAGGTGGTTGCTGATACTGCTGAGGTGGCTGCTGGTATTGCTGAGGTGGTTGCTGATACTGCTGAGGTGGTTGCTGATGCTGCTGAGGTGGCTGCTCGAGATTGTGTTGTTGCTGTTGGTAGTGCCCTGGCTGCAGGGGCTGCGGTGGCTGCTGGGAGAACGTAGCTGGGAACGACGAATCCCCCAAGGCAGCTGGCTCTCAGGGAAGGGGAGAATAAGGGGGAAAACAGAGTGGGAGGAACGAAAGAAACACCTGGTGAGGTTGGCGGAGAGATACGAAACAGTGGGGTGACAGGCAGAGCAACATCGAGGGAGCAGATTGAACAGCAAGGGAACTGGGGATTGGACATGCAGAATAGAACAAAGATGGGGAGGGAAGTGAGTCCAACGGGATGAGCACGCGTGTACCTCCAACGGCTGCAGCAGGTGCGGGCTGCCACTGCTGCTGCGCTGGCTGCTGTGCTGCGGAGCGCGGGTCAAAGTCGTCGTCGTCAAAGCCCCCGCCCCCTCCAGCAGACGCTGCTGCTGCAGGCGCCGCAGCAGCAGCAGCAGCAGAAGGGGCATCGGAGGGCGGGTATGTGTAGGGCTGTGTTGGGCCTGGGCCGTAGGCGCTGCTGTGGGTGGTTCCAGCGGAGAAAGCAGGGAAAGGGCGAGATCGCACAGTGAGCATGGTATAGGCACCCAAACAGTGACGTGGCAGGCTACCATCAACTGCTTGCCGCTGGAAGAGGAAAATTCCAAGCGGAGATGAATGGATGCAGGGAGAAAGGCATACTTGTGTGAAAAGACCCACCTTGCTGAAAAACCTTCCTCTTCAAACGGACTGGCGCTGGCTGCTGCAGTGCTGGGCACGGCAGCAGGCCTGGGCGCACTCTGTGGCGTGCCACTGCCCCCACCGCCCCCACCGCCCCCCGCCTGCCCCGCTGCCACACCTTCCCCACCAGCACCGCTGCCCGCCACCCTGCTGCCCGCCACACCCCCTCCCTCGTGCCCGCTCTTCCTCGCCGCATCCCCCCCCGTGCTGCTGTGCTCCACCTCCTCCTCCGCGCCGTATCTCTCCTTGCCACCTCTGTACCCGCTGGGCCTCTCGCCCTCGCCACTGTGTGCGCTGTCAGTGGAGTGCACCCTCTCCCCCTCCCTCTCCCTCTCAGCCGACCCCGTGCTGTACACACTCTTGCTGTCGCCCGCGTAGCTGTTGCTGCCGTAGCTGGCCGTGGGGTGCGAGTCCTTAACTTGCTTCTCAGGCTCGTAGTCGCCATATGGGTTCGACGCCCGCCCCGAGCCCGCTACTGACGCGCCCTTGAACCTGGTGAAAACGGGCACGAGTGGTTGAGAGGGGCGAGAGTGCGAAATCAAGTCCTTGGGAGCATGCCAAGTCAAGCATCTCTGTGTGACTGCAACTGTTGGCAGCGGGACTCACCTGTTGCGGGTGGCAGCAGCACGCACCTGTTGCGGGTGGCAGCAGCACGCACCTGTCGCGGGTGGCAGCAGCACGGTCCCTGAGCTCAGCAATGCGCGCCGAGTCGCGCAGCAGGGCGAGCAGCGACTGCGTTTTGGTGCGCACGTTGAGGCCCTGGTCCTTGCCTGCGCTGTCCATGTACTGGAAATCGGCCAGACTCTGAACGCGCCCACAACGCCACACAGGCCACAGGGGGATGGATGACACAAAGAGAAAAATGGCCTGCTAGTTTCATATCTGAGATAAACTGTATCTACCATTTGAAACATCTAAGCACTCATAATGGAAGAAAGAGCAGGCAACAACGGAGTCGAGCATGAGGAATGGAGGTACCTGAATGAAGGCAGAGCGATCGCGCAGGTCTCTGACGACGCGGTCGGTGCCATGCGCCACCAGGTAGTCCATCACCACCAGCGCCTGCCCTCGTGCCCCGCACCGTGGCACCACGCCACCCAGCACCAACGAGAAGATGGGGCAGGGACACAGCATACAAGAGGACGAGCGCAGCACACACATTACTGCCAGCGAATGCCAGTGAACGGAAAGCGACCCTACCAAGCCCATAACGAAAGAAAGTCACACTAATATTGTGCGTTGAGCACAAGCAGAAATCTATGACTCCACTTATCATGCGCACCCACCTCATACACGTGGACTAACCTTGTACACGTGGCGCCAGTCCTTGCCAACATCCTGGCAACGTTTCCAGAGCACGTTCATGACCATGGAGTACTCGATCCTGCACCGCGCACAGCAGCCCCGCGCACAGGCATGAGAGATGAGCGAACGCGCAGAGGAACTGACGTGAGACAACCAAGTGCACTCAAGTGGATGCTTCCACGGGAACGATCAGCGTGCAGGTGGTTACGGAGGCGGATTGCAAACGGCATGGACTAAGCTGCACTGCCCAGGGAAAAGAGTTGAAAGCAAGATTCGTGGCGCTGCGAAGGGAGCGGGCCGTACGGGTTGTGCGACGCCCGCGCGAGGTCCACGAGCAGCTGGCCGTGAGGCCCCCACGGCTCGTTGGTCGTCGCGTCCAGCGCCTGAGAGACAGGCACACGCGCACGCACACGCACATGCACACGCGCGCGAACAGTCGCACGCACACGCACGCACACGCGCACGGACAGTCGCACGCACATGCGCACGTGCACGCACACTCATGAGCATATGTATACACATATGCACGCAAACGAGCACGCACACGCAACACGCACACCCACGAGCATCCAAAATCATGAAAGAAATCCACCGTGTCAATGCTCCGTTAACGTTCCGTTCCGTTAACGGTAGCTCCGAATCACAGAGGCTGATGCACAGAGGATAGTCGGTGGTGAAATTCATATCTTTGAAGGTGGGCAGTCGCATCAAGAAGCAACTCGATACAACTAGGCAGTCCGGAAACCGCAAGCACGAATGAGGGGACTTAGAAGAAAAAGACATCTCACCTTGCGCTCGGCATCAGGCACCTTGAGCACATTTTTGTTGACCTCACGCTTTCTGCACCGGCAAACCACGGAGACGAATGGTGACAGATTAGCACGATCGAAGCAGATCAGAGGAAAGCAAGAAGGTTGTTCAACAGCGAAAAAACAATAGGGAACGGCGTGAAGGTTCCGCTTCCAGACAATGGCACAAACAAGGAAACGTACAGGTCTCGAACCGTACGGTCGAATGCCTTGTAAATTGACGACATGAATATTGACTAAACGCTGCGATCACGATGATGATAGATGCAGGTACTGATCAGTACTCTAATACGGTCTACGATAACAAGGATCTTGGATTACGGCCATCAATGCAGTGTAAGCAGAACGACATAACAATGCTACCAATGTACGCTGTCCAGTTTTGCTGTGGCATCTTGGTTTTGAGAAAACTGCTGATGGAAGCATGCTTGGCTGTCCAACCCATCCCAAAGGCGAGGCGGTGGGAGAAAGATCGAGAAAGTCGCGGGAATCCCGTTGATTTGGAATTGTGTATTTGCTCGTTGACAATATGGCTTTGGGGTGAGTGGTGCGGTGGAGAACAATAACAATAACGAAGCAAATATCCTTGATATTTACATGGCGGGGAACAATAATTGTGGCCTGACAGCACCTTGCGTCACGCTCAAACAACAGCACCGCAGGCAGCGGAAGGAACCAGACCTCGCAATTCACGAATCAGACCATCCCCTGCTCCCACATCTTCCCCTCCCACCCCCCCCCCCCCCATCTCCCTTCTTCCCCCATCTCTCCCCCATCCCTCCCATTCGCGGAGTTCACCGTTGACCACCGTGATGTAGCTTGCCACTGACGGTGGGACAGATGGAGAGAGGAACAATAAGCCAAAATTTTCAAGTCTGACTCACGGCTCGTTCAGCGAAAGGTTTCTAGGCAGGCTCACATCATCCTAACTTGATCGTTTCACCTTTCAAACCTAACATAGTGCCGATTGAGTTCTTCAATTACCTGCGACTTTGCTTAGTATCAGAAGCCGCAACTACTCTAGCCGATCCTCGATCTCAACCAGCAAAGTACCGCGATGACAGCGGCGGCTGGGAACCCTAAGAAGGAGTCCAAGAAGCCTAAGTGTGAGCTCCACTCCACTTCGCGAGTTCATTGCCCAATCTCGGGTGCTGGGTCACTCGCCAACTCTTTCCGACGTCGTAGATTTATCACTCCGGCTATTCACCTAGTATTCATCCGTCTTTGTTTTTCACACCTTTCTTTTTTACAGTTGTTATTCTCGTGCAGTTGCTAATACACTGCATTATATTCCTGATCCCTTTTCCCATTCATGCGTCCAGACTCGCGTTTCACGCAGCAGGAGCTGCCGGCGTGCAAACCGCTGCTGACGCCAGCATGGGTCAGTGCCACGCACGCGTCGTGATTCCCACCTGCAAGAGGATCACAATCAAGTCATTGATTTAGATGTTGCTTTTGCGCGTCGGTGGTCTGCCACTGCCTCTTGGCGCGAATCATGTGATGTTGAGTCGCCCATTTGTGTCTTTGAACCACCGTCCGACGCCATCGCCGTGCGCCCCTCCTCTCTCCACCTCCCAATTCTCCCTCCCCCTACGCTCTCTGCTCCCCACATCACTCACATCACACCTCTTGCCCATCTGGCTCAAACCTCGCTCCCCTGCCGCTTTCCCGCCCCGCGTCACCCGCTTGTCTCTGCGTGTGGCAGGTGATCGCGACGCTCTTCCTTGTCGGCGCCGCCTTCATCCCCATCGGAGTCGTCGCTCTCATGGCGTCTAACAGCGTAGGTCTCTCATGGCGTCTAACAGCGTAGGCCGCTCGTGGCGTCTAACAGCCTGTCAGCGCACGGGATGCAATCTTGTCGCGTTGTATCCGCGCTCGTGTGCGCCTTGCCGCCAGCATGCGCGCCAGGCCAGCTTACTTACTGCCTGTGCGCTCCCTGTATGACATGTGTGTGTGCGTGCGCGCGCGTGCCATCCCGCAGGTGGTGGAGGTGGTGCAGCGCTACGACGACAGCTGCGTGCCGGCCGGCAAGGACGGCGTGGCGTACATTCAGGACGCGTCCATCGCCAAGAAGTGCGACGTCCGGATCACCGTCAGTCGCCTTCCCCGCTCTCCCTCACCCGCTCGCCTTAGTCACGCTCCTGTCTCACACTCTCTCACCTCGTTCAATTCGTCCACTACTTCAATTGACCATTTATGGCCTCGTCCATTGGATTTGCATGGCCATGCTCGTTCTCCTTGATCCGCCCGTCACGCGCGTGCTCGCCTGTGTGCAGGTGCCGAAGCGCATGCAGCCGCCAGTGTTCGTGTACTACCAGCTCACCAACTTCTACCAGAACCACCGCCGGTACGCGCCGTCCCGCCTGCCCTCATTCCATCCCTGTTCTCAACAAGTAACCCCCTGGTAGCGCAGCAGTCAAGCTGCTCTCCGAGCTAGCTGATCCCAATTATGACGGGTAGTTGTCCCCGCTACGTGGCACTTTTCCCTTCCACATACGTATTGAGGCCTTTCTACTCCCCTGCTTCCCCCCTGGCCGCTGGCCGGTGCTATTGCATGGGGTGGTGCTGTTGCATGGGGTGGTGCTGTTGCATGGGGTGGTGCTGTTGCATGGGGTGGTGCTGTTGCATGGGGTGGTGCTGTTGCATGGGGTGGTGCTGTTGCATGGGGTGGTGCTGTTGCATGGGGTGGTGCTGTTGCATGGGGTGGTGCTGTTGCATGGGGTGGTGCTGTTGCATGGGGTGGTGCTGTTGCATGGGGTGGTGCTGTTGCATGGGGTGGTGCTGTTGCATGGGGTGGTGCTGTTGCATGGGGTGGTGCTGTTGCATGGGGTGGTGCTGTTGCATGGGGTGGTGCTGTTGCATGGGGTGGCGCTGTTGCATGGGGTGGTGCTGTTGCATGGGGTGGTGCTGTTGCATGGGGTGGTGCTGTTGCATGGGGTGGTGCTGTTGCATGGGGTGGTGCTGTTGCATGGGGTGGTGCTGTTGCATGGGTGGTGCTGTTGCATGGGGTGGTGCTGTTGCATGGGGTGGTGCTGTTGCATGGGGTGGTGCTGTTGCATGGGGTGGTGCTGTTGCATGGGGTGGTGCTGTTGCATGGGGTGGTGCTGTTGCATGGGGTGGTGCTGTTGCATGGGGTGGTGCTGTTGCATGGGGTGGTGCTGTTGCATGGGGTGGTGCTGTTGCATGGGGTGGTGCTGTTGCATGGGGTGGTGCTGTTGCATGGGGTGGTGCTGTTGCATGGGGTGGTGCTGTTGCATGGGGTGGTGCTGTTGCATGGGGTGGTGCTGTTGCATGGGGTGGTGCTGTTGCATGGGGTGGTGCTGTTGCATGGGGTGGTGCTGTTGCATGGGGTGGTGCTGTTGCATGGGGTGGTGCTGTTGCATGGGGTGGTGCTGTTGCATGGGGTGGTGCTGTTGCATGGGGTGGTGCTGTTGCATGGGGTGGTGCTGTTGCATGGGGTGGTGCTGTTGCATGGGGTGGTGCTGTTGCATGGGGTGGTGCTGTTGCATGGGGTGGTGCTGTTGCATGGGGTGGTGCTGTTGCATGGGGTGGTGCTGTTGCATGGGGTGGTGCTGTTGCATGGGGTGGTGCTGTTGCATGGGGTGGTGCTGTTGCATGGGGTGGTGCTGTTGCATGGGGTGGTGCTGTTGCATGGGGTGGTGCTGTTGCATGGGGTGGTGCTGTTGCATGGGGTGGTGCTGTTGCATGGGGTGGTGCTGTTGCATGGGGTGGTGCTGTTGCATGGGGTGGTGCTGTTGCATGGGGTGGTGCTGTTGCATGGGGTGGTGCTGTTGCATGGGGTGGTGCTGTTGCATGGGGTGGTGCTGTTGCATGGGGTGGTGCTGTTGGATGGGGTGGTGCTGTTGCATGGGGTGGTGCTGTTGCATGGGGTGGTGCTGTTGCATGGGGTGGTGCTGTTGCATGGGGTGGTGCTGTTGCATGGGGTGGTGCTGTTGCATGGGGTGGTGCTGTTGCATGGGGTGGTGCTGTTGCATGGGGTGGTGCTGTTGCATGGGGTGGTGCTGTTGCATGGGGTGGTGCTGTTGCATGGGGTGGTGCTGTTGCATGGGGCGGTGCAGGTACGTGAAGAGCCGCAGTGACAGCCAGCTGCGGGGCACCAATATCAGCGGCAGCGACTTTGATGTGTGCCAGCCAGAGGCGTACCTGTGGGACAACTCGTCCTTGCCCATCCGGCCGTGCGGGCTGGTGGCGTGGTCGCTGTTCAACGACTCGTACGCCATCACGGACGCAGGCACCGGGCAGCAGCTGGCCATTGACAGCAGCAACATCGCATGGCCCAGCGACCAGAGTGGCAAGTTCGCTGGCGTGCCCCCGGAGAACTTCAACACCGTTGAGAACCTGCGCGGCGGGGCACAGCTCAACACACTTGTAAGCGTGCTTGGTAGCATCTGTGGCAGTGGTGGCATGGGCATGCATGTCCGAGTGCGAAGTCCTCACAGGGTTGTGACCCTGCTTTCTCCCTTGTGTCCCGCCCCTGCGTGTGTGTGGAGTGCAGCTGAACCAGTCGGAGAATCTGATGGTGTGGATGCGCACAGCAGCGCTGCCCACGTTCCGCAAGCTGTACGGGCGCATCAACACGCCGCTGGAGGCGGGCAGCACGCTGGCGGTGGTGCTGCAGAACAACTACAACTCCTACCAGTACGGCGGCCAGAAGGCCCTCGTCCTCTCCACCGCCAGCTGGCTGGGCGGTGCCAATGGCTTCCTGGGCCTCGCCTACCTCACCGTCGGGGGGCTCTGCTTCCTCCTCGGCATCCTCTTCTTCGTCCTCCTCTTCACAAATCCAAGGTATGTATTGAATACTTGTCTAGGCTTTCGTCTCCAAGGGTGCATTCCACGGTCAGGCGTTACAAAAGGAGGCGTTGCAAACGTTTGTGATGCTTATTTCTGGTATAGAATGCCAGGCGTCACAAACATAAACCGTGAATGTGCGACAAATTTTGTGTTCTTAATTGGCTGCCGTATTGGCTGCCGTGAATCCTGCAAAGTTGTCCCCCAATTGAGCAAGTCGCACAGAGTCTCTATTCCACGCCTCAGCTAGACCGAAAAAAAACGACACCAAACAGATTGCATGTGAAGAAAACCTCAGTGCACAGACTTGCTGAACGGTACAGCAAACGTGATTCTTCACAACGACAGCTCATAAACAGTCACATTTCAGTCATTCCTCATAAGACATATGGCACTTTGTAGGTGTTGCAAGCACAACCTCCTGGCTTTAGGGGAAGCTAGGCACGGAAGTCAGTTTTGTGGGGATTGCGACACCCCCCTTCGCGACACATGCTCGTGGGAATGTTCCTTCAGACTTC